CCCTACAGACACACACAGAACCCAACTGAGCCCCTATTTAAGGAAATGACGGATAATTGCTACATTTAAAATAACAAAATCACAAGTAGTCAGAGCCTCACTGGGAGCAGCTATCTTTTTTCTGTACAATTGATGTTATTTATTTAGAAAGTCAATGGCTTCCCTTTGTGAAATAATTTTCCTGTATGTGTACTGTTTTTTCCAGCTTAGATGGAAACCATTTGAGATTCCAAAAGCTTCTCAGAAGAAAGTGGACTTTGTGAACGTAAGTCAATGCTATCCACACCTTCCCACTTCTCTCCTCTCTTCCATGGTGAGTGATCCAGCCATTTGCAGGCTGAACGCCAAACAGAAGCAGCCTTAGAGGCAGGCAGCCGACACAGCACCACCTGTCTCTGCTTTGTGACTGGCAGAGGGATGTCTTACTTACAGGCACCATATGGCCCTGACTCCAAAGGGCACTGGTGGGCTATTTACAACATCTCCAAACAGTCTATGGAAATTGAGATTTTACCTTTCTCAGGTTCCTTTGTTTTCAGAACAAAAACTTGCTTGATAGTCTGGTGAAGCCCGTGTTTTTTAATGCATAAAATGACAAAGAAGCCAATTATATTGCAATACAATGATAAAAATATTAAAATAAATTTGGTTTGGTACATAATAATACTTATGCTTCCTTATTAATGCACTAAATCACAAAATCTATGAACAGGTCTAATAACTATGGTTATTATAAATGTGAGCATATTTTGGGATATCTGTAACAACTATAGTGTGATATAAAAATAACCATGATTTCTATCAATGTGAAGATTACAGACACTTCTAATACTACTGTAGTTTGTTGCTTACATTCACATTAATTAAAGGAAGTGATAAATTTCAATCAGAGATTAGTGAAATGAATATTTTTTCCCATACAAGTGCATGAACTCCCCAGAATGCACCCTTGGGCTAGAATAGCATCAACTCAGGGTGGCAACTCTAGTTAGCACAACACTGATTAGAAGTTCTGCTTGGTGGTTATAGGTGCTGGGAATATTGGAATACCTGTGCTCAGAGCAAGGCGTATGCAGGGAAGGAGGAAAGGAGCTACAAGGAGGTGGGGCTCAAAGAAGCTAGTGGAACATTCTGCAGACCAGCCACAGTTGGTGGCTTACTTAGGAAGAATCCAGGTGCCCAGCCACAGGCCAAAATTTTTGGAGAATGTTGGACTCCTTATCCATATTAAGTGCTTCAAACCTTGTATAGAGTCATCTAAATAGACCCCAAACTTGCAAATTGAGTTAAAATACAAGAAGAAATCCCTCCACCCTGTGTGTATTATGGCTATCTGGAGGAGCAGAGCTCCCTCCTTTTAGGCTCTCCATCTGCAGGTTTGGGGCTGACGGCTGTTTTGAGAAGGCCCATGTGTTAAAGTTTCTTGGACTGTGGATTATCAGCAGAGAGGATTATAGTTGGTCAGAGTGCTTCTCTCTGTCCTGTTCTGGAGAGATTCGGGCTGCCCCTAATCATTAGCAGAGGGCCACCCGCATAGTGTGGTGTATAGGAGGACATGAACTGGTCCCTAATGCTGCAACCTTCCTCTCCAAGTCCCCCAGGTGCCTGATTTTACCTCCCAGAGAAACTCTCCTTCAGGTTGATCTTAACCACCAAACTGAGAAAACGTCAAGTAACAAGTTGATACTCTGTAAGGTCATCTAACGCAGCCATTTAGACAATCCATATCTAGGGCTATGGCTGTCCACTAGAGTGAGCCACCACCTACCAAACATAAGTCAGTAAATTCCAGGTTCCCCAGAGGTCCCTCGGATTCTGAATGTCCCACTGGTCCTGAGGTCCTAGTCCTAGGACCTTTCCTCTTGAGGTTCAGGGGCCTCAGGGACCAGGAAGAGGGCCAGCCTCTTGGACCCTATCACATTCACCCTTCCCTTTCCTGCGGGTCTCTCCCAGGGCCTGCACACCTTGTGTGGAGCTGGAGACATCAGGTCTAACAATGGGCTCGCCATCCACATCTTCCTGTGCAACACTTCCATGGGGGACAGGTAAGTGTCTTAGTGCTGGGGAAGAAAACCCTCCTTCCCCAGGAGCTGTGGCCAGAAGGTAAAAGCCATGTGGTTGTTTTTCTTATTGTCTTTTCCCCAGAGCAATGTTGATATACATTTATTAATAATAGTAAATGGCATTTCTATCTTGGCTGACTCCTGTCACACGAACAAGAATGTCACATAACAATGCAAATAGAAAAGGGACATTGGGGCCCTGGAAAGCAAAGAGGCATTTTCACTTTAACGAGGTTTGTGTGAGAATATTCTTAATTTCCAAGATTCCCCAGAGCTATTCTTGGGCCCAAAGTCATGCTGCATGAGTCGCCATTGGGGCCACCTGTTGGTGTCAGGTCAAGCCAACAGACTTTGGCTTCAGCTAATAACTTTGTGTGAGCTTCAAGTTCCTTAATAGAGGAGTTTACATATTAGACTTTTTTTTTTAAGATTTTATTGGGGAATTGCGGAAGGGAAACAGTGTTGGGGAATTGGGGAAGGGGAACAGCCAAGTTGTTCTTCTTCAATCTTCATTGTGGAGGGCGCCAGTCACCATCTGGCTTCCCGTCGGCAGCTCGTGGCCTCTAAGCTCAAGGTGCTGTGTTCAGTCTTAGTTGCGGGTGGGCGTAGCCACCATCCCATGTGTGAGTGGAACCCAGCAGCCTCGTTGTTAAGAGTGCACGCTCTACCTACTGAGCAATCCGGGCGGAAGCTCAGCTCAAGGTGCTGAGTTCAGCCTTAGTTGCGGGTGGGCTTAGCCCACCATCGAACAGGCAATCTTGTTGTTACACCAGCTGAGCCATCCTACCACCTGTTGGCAGCTCAGTGACAGCTCAGCTTGGGCGCAGCTCACTGGCCCATGTGGGAATCAAACTGGTGGCCCTGTTGCTAAGAACTCGTGCTCTTAAGCCAACTCTTAACCAACTGAGCCACTCGGCTGGCCCATATTAGACTTTTTTTAAATCAGAAAAGCATATGTGAATGTCATTCTTGCCTTTTCTTTGGGAAACAGAATATCAGAGTAATTTTTGAACCAGATCATTGTATCCATAGGCAATTCCACTCTTTCTGGCTGAGTGACCTTCTCTGAGCCATGAATCAGGGCCAAGATCGTAGCCCTATGACAAGGCACAGGAGATGTCCCTTTGGGTCCAACCTCATATCAGTCACCTCCTCTCTTTTCTCCTGAGCCATACTAGCCTTTATTCAGTTCTTCCAAACTGCCATGTATCCTCCTGCCTCAGAGCATTTGCACATGCTGTTCCTTCTGCCTGGAATGTTCTCCTCCTTCCTTAAACACTTGGCTAGATGAACCCTTCAGATCTCAGGTCAAATTTCCCTTTTTCAGGGAAGCTTTTGCTGACTCCTCGACTAGATCAGGTCCATTATTCTTTCATTGCTCTGAACCTGACTTTCATAGTGCCATTATAGTTTGTGATGATATAGTTCTGTAATTGTTTTATTGCTGTCTGACTTTCTACTAGACTTCATGAGGGCAGAGATTGGGTCATTTTTCACATCATTTTATACCCAGAACTAAACCTGGCACCTAGTGGGTACTGAACAATAATTTGTGCAGTGAACTAATTTGTCTGGATGGTTTTAAAACTAAAAATCAAAGGAATTATTCTATATGTTTCAGATGCTTTTACAATTCAGATGGGGACTTCTTGATTGGTAAGTTTTGAAGATTTCATACCCCTTCACTGTGAATTGAGCCCTAGACACAAGCTGCTTTTTAACTTTACATATATTATTTTCCTTCGTCCTTCAATCTGTCTTAGTATAATTTACAGACTGAAGTTCTAAAGGTGATTGGTGGTCTGCAAAAGAGTAGTAGATTAGTGTACTTCAAAGCCCCTAATCTATTTCCCAATCTCTCTGTCTTTGCTCATTTCTGCTAGATCCTTCTAATATGGGAGATCTGGGCAGCTGAAAAGAAATGGAGAGTAATACCAACATGTGATTAACTTACTAAGATAGTCCTATTTGCCTTCAGACTTGCCCAAGAAAAGACTATCTGTCATTAATATCTGCAATTTAAATAAAGATTTTCATGAGAGAATCTAAAATGGAATGTCTATTAGAAATTTCTCTGGTCTACCCATTCTTTTTTATGGTTTTATTATAGTACCGGTATTTTGGAATGAACATTTTGGTGTAGATGTTAGACATGCAAATGCCAGCGTCCTGTTGGAACTATCAGAAATGGGTGATTTTCTATCCTATTTTGGCTGGCCTCTGTGGTCAATTCACAGAATCGTTTATATAATGCTTCTTACCTGACAACAACAACAAAGATTCAATTTTTTCAGTCATGTTCTTCTAGATAATAAAATAGTTAAGTTGTCAGAATATACATTTTTCCCTCTGAGACTCAATAAAGTTCTTTTCATTTGGAATGAAAAAGCAAATGCACTCTTTTAAGCTTCTTACTTTTCATTAAGTGGCTCTTGCATGAAAAGAGTTACTCACTGCTGCCCTGTCTTTTTTTAGTTCCCCAGAAAGGGAAACTTCTCATTTATACAGAGTTTGGCAAGATGCTTCTGCAGCCCAACGAGATCTGCGTCATTCAGGTGAGTGATGTGTTCCCTTCTCCCTGCCTCTCTAATTTGGGAGCAATCAGATGTTGCAGCTGCTGCTATTTCCAACTCTAAAATTTCTGTCATGTCTGGGCAATGGGGAGGGAGTTTGAGTTACACAGAAGGCTCCCTGTGGAGAAGGGTAAGCAGGCTTGGGTGCCTGCTTTGTTTTAAAATAGCACACAATCGAAAGCACAGGGCATTGTCAGTTCACTTTCCTAAATATTTATACACCCTCTGGATAAGGCCCTGGATGTGAGTGGAGGTGCAGTGAAGGTGAATTTCTTAAAAATTTGGTTAATCAGGGCATGGTTGTCTCTGAACCCAACAGGAAAATAGACTAGAATTGGTTTGGGTCACAGATGTGATTAGAAGTTAAATTTTTATTTCTAACTCATCTTGGAGTTGATCATCTCTCAAACATAGCTCAACAGGCTATATAGCTTTACTTGTGCATGTGGGGCTGGCTGTGGCTCTGGGGCTTCTTTATAACTACAGGTGTGGTTTGGGAGGGCACACCAGTATCTGCTTCCCATTCCAGAGAGGAATGCGGTTCAGCATAGATGTCTTCGAGGAGACCAGGGGCTACATCCTGGAGGTCTACGGCGTCCACTTTGAGTTGCCTGATCTGGGACCGATTGGTAAATCTTCACTACAAGCCTCTTAGCCTGACTTGAGATATAGGGCACAGACACTTGCATGAAAGTTAAACACCCCTCTGCCTTCATTATCTCATTCAAACTTCAACTTTCCTCTCTAGACAACTTCTCTTGACCAAGTGTAGTTGGGAATTTCAGAGACCTATTAGAACTCTCTGGGCAATGGCCAGACTTTCTTTTCAGACTTCTAAGTTCAGGGGATCTGTGCAGTATGGCTGACCCAATTGATGAAATGAAATCTTAATTAATTAGCTCATTAGTGTATCACTCCATCCGCTTGTCTCAGCATCCATGTTGCACTGAGGGTAATGACAGAAACCTTGTCAAGGGTAGCACAAGCATCTTCCCATAAAATACATGCATAACAGAAAATGACCCAAGACAACCCATTATAAATTTCTCTCTAGAATAACATATAGATCATTGGAATGCAAGATAATATATAACAGATATTTTGTTATATGTGTACACTTTTTTATATAATGAGAAGTTTGGGTTACTGTGGGCCAGGTTACCAGAAACAGATTCAGAGAAGAGATGAGATTTGGCTAATTCTTGATGAAAACTTGAGGAAAAATAAAGAGGAAAGGGAACAGCTTAAGCAAAAGCATGCAAGTGGGAATAAGCTTTGTAAATAGAAGGGAGATCATTTTCTTAAGTTAATTGGTTGTGCGTAGACAATAAAGTGGGGAAAACCATAAAAATCTCAATGGCTATATTTCTGTAGAAATAGGAAAAGGACTGAGAGCCACATAATATATGAATCTCACATTCCTACTGACACACTACACTCTACATTAAACAGTCAAAAAAGCTACTTCACTCAGTGCTATGAAGGAGCTAGAAACCACAGCCTCCATGAGGCAGATTAGAATTTCCAAAAGTGAACTAAGACCTGCCCACCCCCGATTCTTCGGGTAAGCTGGAGTCAGGGGACACAGGAGAGAAGTAAATGTGGTAGGAGCGGTTGTTCTCAAAACATCTCTTGGAGTGGAAACAGTGTTTGGGAAAATCGGCCCTTGGTTTCATCTCTGGCATGTTTGCTGAAGGTGGTGGCCACACCTCCCCATTCTTCCCTTGCTTGTCAACAGCTTTTTTAGAGCAAAACAGGGACTGGCCAACATGTGCCTTCTGGTCACTCCCCTGGGAGGATCCAAATAATCAGAGGAAGGTGGGAGGCAGCAGAGAGGCAGCTGGAACCATGGTTGGCCATCTGTCAACCTGCTCGTCAACCGCTCTTCCCACTTTGGTCTGGTTTCCTGCTGCTCCACAGTCACCATTAGCCTCCAGGTTCGTGTACCCTCTGGAAAATATATATAATTTTCTAACCAGCTTGAGGCTCGTTTTTTTTTAACTCCAGGAGCTGGAAATTATAAAACACTCCCCAGGTCTCTCCTCTCAGAGTTAAATTATGTTTTTGCACTTATGCTTTTCATTTTTGGTCTTTTGATTTATTTCCTTTCTCTGGAGGAAACATTCACAAAGCAAAAGTAAGCAGGCAAGTCGTGAATACTTCTCCCAGGCAGATTTGTCAGGCTGGACACAGCAGTTTTACAGACTGAGATTGATTCTGAATTCTGTCTGAGGAGCAGAGGCAGGCCTGGGCAACAGTAGGTAACCCTTTCTTTCTCAAGGACTACAGATAAGTCCTAGAGTACTCAGGGTTTTCCTGGAAAGAAAAAGGTCTAGTTTTCTACTGGATCTTTTATTGTCCTCTTTTGTAATCTCTTCCTCTTCTTCCCTCCCTTCACATGTAGTCATAAGATAATGCATGTAATGTGGTTTTATAAACCATATTCACTCTCCAACTTTAGGAGGTGACACTAGAGATAATGATGATGATTTTCATGATTTTTTTCCTGATCAAATTCCTTAGGTCTTCCTAAAAAGGTGCCAGTCTGGGAATCCAATTAACCTTTGAACAATAAAAGCAAATTGTGGGATAGCTCTTGACATGGAAGAAAGTCCTTTTTCTTTGTGCAGCCAATTTTTTTATGCTTTTCAGAAGCATCTAAAAACCTTTAGGGTCATTGTTTTCTAGGAGCCAATGGCTTGGCCAATCCTCGTGATTTCTTGATACCTGTTGCCTGGTATGAAGATCGCCGAGTGCCAGGTGGTTACACTGTAATTAATAAATACCAAGGCAAGCTGTTTGCTGCCAAACAGGTAAAATAAGAGGGATGGTAGGCAAGAGTGTGAATGAATAATTATGGAGCACCTACTGATTTCCAAGGCCAATGTTAAATACTTTACACATATTATATTCTTTCATTTTTAGTACCCCACTAAGATACTACTAACAAAGCACTATTTGTCTTATTTGTAGTCATGAAAACAGGCCAGGTAGTGACAAATAATTTACTAAATGTCATAGTAAATGGTAAAACCAACATTTGAACCCATATCTGTCTAACTCCAAAGGTCATGATCTTTCCACTCACCAAGTAATGAAAATCCAGGAATACGTAGCTCTCTATAAATGGTGGGGAAAAAATAATACACAGGGTAATATATTCTGAAAAGGGAAATGAGTTCAGATCATCTAACATTTATATTTATCAATGGCTACCATAATTCAAATACTAGCTAAGACTGATACAAAACAAGTAGAAGTCAGTTAAAATAGCTTGATTTTGTTTATAACACCAGCCTGGTAAACTCAGAAGATAAAGAAAGGCATAAATAATAATAAAAAATAATAATAATAACAATATGTAATCAATAATATAATATATGCTAATATAGTATATAATTAATATATATTAGTATATAATATATAGTATGTAATTGGTATGTAATATATAGTATATAGTATGTAATATATTAAGGAATAATATATTATATTATTCCTTAATATACTGAATATATAATATATTAGCATACGGCAATCATATAACAAAAATAATCCAAAGATCACTTCTGTTTACCAATATTTGTTTGCTTTATTTTTGTCCATTTGACTTATTGCCTATATTTTGCCAAGGCATGTTATTGGACAGCATCTAGAAGTTATGCTAACCAGTAGAGGTCAACTAGTTTGGCACTTAAAATTAACCCCTGATGGCTAATTGTCACCCTCATTGACACATTGTCACCCTCATATTACCTTGGTCAAGATTTCTAAAAATGAGATTCAGAGACTTTGCATAAAAAATTCTCAGGGTGGCTTGTTTAAAATGCAGATCCTTAGATACTACTCCAGCCTGGCAAAAATGATAACTTCTAGGGGTGGGGTGCAGAAATCTACATTCATTTTTAATCATGTCCCCCATATTATTTTGACATACAGTTTATAGAGAACCATCATTCTAGGGATAGCTAGCGGCTCCAATGGTTTCTACTTTCCAGGTGGACCCTGAGTTGGTTATTCTCTGTGTGAACTCCCAGTGATCCATTCTCCCTTTTCTGCTATGATCTGAGCCTTGGGAGGTTGACCTATATGGACTGTATCACCCAGGGTCCCTAGACAGCTGGATTTTGGTTGGGTAACCAGTGGGAGGTAGCCTCACAGGAAGCTGGAGTTACGTCTATTGGAAGCTCCTCTGGGTAGCAATTACCTGGAGAACCGTCACAGCAAGTGCCTGCACTTACACCAGGAAACCCAGAGGGTGGCCCAAATAGTCTGAGAATTGCTGGCATCCACAGATTTTCACAGTTGTGTTAAAAATTGTTGAAAAGGCATTACTTAGAGAATGTGCTGTACTTCGTCTGCACATGTGATCAGAGGCAGCTGCAGCTTATGAACTGGAAAAGTAGGGTTAGTGGTTAAAGGAGGGGTGGTTTGAAGGTGTGTGAATCAACCACAGAATGAATGACTGAGGTTTACACTTCTCCCAAAGGATGCTATTATTAAATTATTAGAACCAAATCAAATAAAAAAAGAGAGAGCGATGTCAAGTACAAACTGTGGAATCATAGCTACAAAAGCATTAGGCGCTGAGATCACCCTTTCCTGCTTCTTTTGTGATCAGGATACCTCCCCGTTCAATGTCGTGGCCTGGCATGGGAACTATACCCCCTACAAGTACAACTTGGAGAACTTCATGGTCATCAACGCAGTGGCCTTTGACCACGCAGTAAGTCTGGACCATGGAGGGGCTTTGGGGAGAGGGCAACCCTTGGATGAGAGGGGTTTACAGTAGACCCCTAGCATTCACAGATCTAACACTTTCAGTGTCACCCTTGGAAGCCTGAAATATAGTCATTTGTCATTGTGCTGACAGGAATTTGAATCACCTGTCAAGGCTTCAGTGCTGGAGTAAATAACATAGCTAGTGAGAGAGCCAGGCCAGACACTCAACACTCACCCATGAACACAGCTCAGTTCTCTACATAGATTAGTCACAGTAACTCTCCTACATGGCTAAAAACTTGGTTTCTTCATGGAAAGTTTATCCCCAAAAGAAAACCAACTTCGAATTTTAGTGATGGAGTGATGACAAAGGAACATTTCTGGATTTGGAAAGTTCTCTGCCCTGCCCACAAATGCCAAGAGTCTACTCGCTCTGGCTACCTACTCCAGTGCCTCTGCTCCTGGTTGTTTTTAGCACTGATGGAGCAGACAGCTCTCTTCTAAAGTTACTCATAATGTTCAGTGTTTGAATTTAAACCCAAGAAATTCTAGAGTATGAACTCGATAACATTTTTCATTCATTTAAGGGGCCATAAATAGATCCCTGGTCCACACTGCAGGCCCTGAAGGCCCCACATTTTCAATAAAGCACTAGTTGTGGGAACCTGGGGAAATGTTTGTTTTGCATCCTAGGTCTTAATAGATTAAGTTAACCCACAAGCTGGAGGGATAATTAGAGCAGAAGCCAGAGAACTAGAGACAGAAAGATTACTCTGAGCCAGTTCAGTGTATCTCTGAGGGGATAAAACTACCTTTCTGAAGAGCAACAACTCCGAATAAAACCAAAAGTGCAAAGAAAATAAGGCATCAAGCCCAAAACAGCATGAAAAAAGGATCCTGAGACACTGATAGAGCTTTACTATTTGATCCTCACCACCTTTTCTTTAATCATTTAAGATCATTTCTCATGACAGATGAAGTGTTAACTCTCACAGCAATAAGAGTTGGTTTTTTGAGTTGCATTTACCCAGGTTCAATCTTCTCTGTACTGCCGCTACAGTTATTTTTCCAAAATTCAGACCTAATCATTCTACCACTGCATTAAAAAACCTTTGCAGGCTCCCTGTGGCTTAGGATTAAGTCTGAGCTCTGAAGCGTGGTATTTGATGCTCTTCACCATCTGGCCATGGACTCATTTTCCATCGCCACTTCTTGCCCCTCTCCCTTCTGCCAGTGTACCCTGGGCTTTAGCTTTCTTGCCTTTTAATAAAATCTGTATGCATTTTGATGTCTTTCTTGTTTTCTGTGCTTAAAAATGCCTTTTCCTCTCTTTCCCTTCTTCCTTCTTTTCTTCCTTCTTTCCTTCCTTCCTTCCTTCCTTCTTTCCTTCCTTCCTTCCTACCTCCCTCTCTTTCTTTTTCTTTCTCCTTTCATTCTTCAGTACCTATCTCAAATGTCACCCCCTCCTTGAAGCCTTCCCTGATCCTCTCAGGTAGAGATATGCACTCCTTCCTCTGTGCTCCCTTGGATTTCTATTTATAAAGCTACGAATAGATTGCCCTCAACACCTTGCTGTGATTAGTTGTTCATGCACCTGTTTCATTATTCCTTCAGTTCACCTACCCCACCCCTCCACCAATGATTCTAAAGGGGCAAGGAATAGATCTCAATCGTCTTTGAATCCAGACCCTAGCATGACATCTGAAAGAAAACATATTCATTGATTTCAATTAAATTGAACTTCCATCTTTTCACTGAAGGATGGTCAAGTTCTTTTAAAATCAGAATAGTGTCCCCCAACCTATTCCCCTCCACTACCACCACCCAAACTAGTGATGTAACTGGTATATTTTAGACCTGAGAGTCAAACAAGGGTAAGAAAGCAATGAGGATACCATCTGAAATCTCTGTGCTCCCCCAAAGAGAAGCAGATCCTACATCTATACCAAAATTTGGACAATATTTTATTTCTATTTCCACCTAACTCTAAGCACCCCTTCTGTCAAGAGCTCTCTGTGGCACAGCCCAGCACTGGTCACCCTGACCTGAGGTTGGGAGGCAGACACCACTGGTTCTCAGACCCACAGGCTAGTGCTTACATGAAATGGGGCTCAGCAGGGTGAAAAAGCAGCTCAGAATCCTCTTAGCTAGTTGTTAATTCATTTTGCTTCAAGCACAGCAAGAGGGGAAAGTCAGATGAGTGATTATTACACCTCAATGACAAGCCTAAACTTCTTAGCCTGGCCTGTGTGGTTTGATCAGAAATTAGAGCGTTGCCCTAAAACCCTTTCATGTGTGGGTGACATGTGTCATTGTGCAGTCACCTCTCTTTCCTCATATGTTGAGTCTCTCTTTGTGCTTTCACAGGACCCATCCATTTTCACAGTACTGACTGCCAAGTCTCTCCGCCCCGGAGTGGCCATTGCTGATTTTGTCATCTTCCCACCTCGATGGGGGGTTGCTGATAAGACCTTCAGGCCTCCTTATTACCACAGTAAGTCTCTCTTTTGCCAACACGTATTTGGAAACCAAAGAAACAGCGAAGTGATGAGCATTACCATAGGGAATACTGTTGGAGGTGTTTCTGGACGCCCTGCCCTGGCTGGAGTTCAGAAGCCTGCCTCCCGAGGCCTGGTGCGGCAACCCAGACCTTCAGCTCCTTAAATACCACAACTTCCATGGGTACAGCAGTGATGTGTTGACTTGGAGAAGGAAACACTGTGTAATGCCTCAAGCCCAGTTCCTCTGACCTTGAAGAGAGGCAGAAAGGCTGGTAAAGCACAAAGCAAGAAGTTTCTGTACATCTCAGATGCTTCTTTTAAGGGAGAAGGAATAGTGAGATGCTGTTGGTGAGTTTGTTGTTTGGGGAAAGTTCATTACATAAATCTGGCTCAAGAACCAGTAAAATGTGCCGCCTCCAATTATTTTGACAGATTAAAGCAGACCGTAGTCCACACTAGGGGATGGACCCTATTCTGAAAAGAGTTTCTGCACAACATTTGTTGCCTAGAACAGAACTTACCAAATCTATTCTTTTTATTTTATTTATATAGTAAAACCTTGGATTGTGAGTAACTTGGTTTGTGAGTGTTCCGCAAGACGAGCAAACATTTCTAATACATTTTAAGAGGTAAACGAGTGATGTCTTGCAATACGAGTAGTTTGTTTCTGGAATGAATTATGTTCGCAAACCAAGGTATTACTGTATTACTATTACTAACAGCTAACAATTATTTTGACTACTTTCCATGGCTTTGTATTAAGTTCTTTAATAGTATTAACTCATTTAATCCTCATAATAGTTGTCATACATAGTATCGTTATCCCCCACACATACCCTTTTTTTTCAGAAGATGAAACTGAAACAAGAAGGATTAAATAATTTGCTCAAGGCCGCACAGCTAGTTAAGTGGTGGATTCAGGATTCAACTGAAGGCGATCTGATACCAGAGCAGACACTCATGACCACTAGCCGATGTGTCTAACATCGTGTCCAGTTACATGATATGCATCTAATAAATATTTACTTAATAAGCGAATGCATCACAAAGAATAGGCAGTTCATGGCTGTACTTAATGAGACTGGCATTTTCAATAGTGCAATAGTTAGCTGTAAATGTAACCTAAAGGCCAACGTACGAATCCACTTCCTGGAGAGTGCATTTTTGTACATGGAGTTCTGAAAAAACTCTGAGCGGGAACATTCTCAAAAACAAACCCCTCTTCTTGTTAACCTCAGGGTCTTCTGTCTATATGAAGGTCCTCTCTATTCATACCAGCTCCCAGGTGCCAGGGCTCAACAGGGTAGGACGGTGCACTGAATGGGCAATTTAGGTATTTGTAAGGACCCTCATAACGGAAGAAGGCCACTTCATGTTCAAATCGCAGTACCTTTCTCAGGTGACACCTCTATAATTGAGAAAAGGACACAATTGTTACCACTACAAAGACACTAGATGCTTGGTGAATAAAGTTGTAACAACCTATGTCCTTTCTGAGGAGTGTCAAGCCCATCACAGGCCCTGTTTTCCTCCTGGAAGTGAGTTGCCTAGAGGACCTGTGGAGAAGAGAGAGAGAGAGCTGATCTGGCTTAGAGCCTATATCTCACATGCTAGTCCTTGATAATTCACTGTTTCAAATAATTCTTGTATTGAGGTTTCAGATCATTAAGGGACTTAAAATCACCTAGAAAGTCTTTTTTCTCAAACTTTATTACCAGGGCCCTCCCCCAGAGAGTTTAATTAGTTGGTTTTGAGGTGGAACCTCAGAATTTGCATTTTGAACTAGCAAGTCAGGAGATTCTGATGCAGGATGTGTACAGAACACATATCAAGGACCACTGACTGCCTGGGGCTGTCTCCCCACCCAGGAAGAGGGATCAGAGCAGCCTGACTCAGACAGACCTGCTACTGTGCACAGCTCTCAACCCACTTCTTGATGCTGATTTGTAGTTCAGAATGCCTGAAGCAAATGGCCATGTGAAATGCTTCTTATAATTTTTTAAAAGACTCTTAAGTAAATTTGGCCCAGGATAGATAGATCTCAAGAAAGGTATGATTGCCCCCAAGTTAGTTGGAAAAATCACAAAACCCCAAGTTAGAAATATTTTTTACCAGAGATATTTAAAATATTGCTTTAGTAACAATCAAAATCTTTGCTACCTTGATGTGACTTTATAGATGTGGAGAATTATATCTGTAGCAATATTGTCTCCAGTCATCTTAATGCACCTTAGTCAACTGGATTCAGCATTAATCAGAAAGGCAAAGTCTACCCTCCCACTGTCCTTTGAAATATAGAAAATGATACAGAAATGTCATCACCAGACTCACCGCTACCTAAATTCATATTCATATCATAGCTGAATTCTGTTTTGCTCCCTTCTTAAAATTAGGCCATGAAGGTGACCCTGAGGACACATACTGGAGTGAGGAGTGTGACAGCATATTTAAATCATGAGCAGAACTGCTTTTAAAATAGAGACACTTTATGCTTACAGTCACTTCTTTTCCTCTATATTTCTGCTTTGCGGAGAAGCAAGCAGAGCTCCGAAAAGGTCTTACCTTTTCTGCAGGGGCCCTGAAGCAGCACTGTGTTTTCTGGGCAGGGTGGGTATGGCTGCTTTGTTAATTACAAAAGTATTTTGGCTTATACATGTAAGGGAGGGGGTGGGGCATTTATAAAGTCTAATGTTTGGCTTTGCAAGGGTCACTACTGCCATATCTCCCCACTCTGTTCATGGTTTGCACTCTTAGCACTCTCTTGGGAGAGACTATGAGTTACTTAAGACAGACTATTTCTTATTCATCTCTATCACAGTACTTACACAGTGTCCAGTTATATTTATTGGATGGGTGGATAGGCAGATGGATGGGGTGGGGAATGGACAGATGAATAGATGAACGGGTAGATGGGTGGATGAATGGAGAGACACCTAAATTTACTCAAGTGTTATATTTCTTTAAGCCTTGCTCTAACTATGTTCCCATTCTAATAAAAAGCTTTGTTTCAATAGAAATATAAGATTGAAAGAGTGAGAACATGGAGATTTTTGTCAAGTTTTGTGTGATTCCAAAAAGCACAACTAGCACCAATGTATTTAACTTACGTGAAAGCAAATTTTCATTTAATATGAGAGAACTTTTTAACACCCCAAGCTTTGTTGAGTAGAGAGCTTAGGTAGATTACAGCTCAGGTAGTTTTGCTGAATAGAGGGCTTCCATTCACAGGAGGCATGCAGACAGAGCCCAGGAGACAGTCTGTCAGGAATGATATAGAAAATTCTTCTGTACTGAGTAGAAGTAGGGATCCCTTCCAACGGTAACATTTTAGAGTTTTATAAAGAGAATGTCAATGTAAATAGAAAGAAAAGAATGAATCTAAAAGGCATTTTGAAGAATGGGAGAATAAGATATCAGATTCCGATCTAGAAGATGATATTTATTAGAATATACCATTTATAGACTGGGTTTTACAAATACTAAGGTTCTTTCATACAGATTATCATTTGATAATGGACCCCAAGTCCAGGGTTCTTTCTATTGTATCATCCTTCCATCAACACACAGACACACACACACACACACACACACACACACACACACACGCACACACCACTTTAGCTTTCTGTATTGGGAACCAGAAATACGCTGATGCATGTACTACTGTCAGACTACTTGGGAAGGGGTTCAAATCACACACAAAAATATAATTTTGATGAGACTTGTAAGCCTAAATGTTGGATGGAGTACATCCATTCTTTATTATAACTTGCATTTTAATAATTAAAATTCTTGTGTGGGTCCTGATTTTCTTTAGATCTAGCCTAATTTCTTTCAGGCAGTGGAACACAAGACCTCTGCTAATCCACATGGCCATGAAGTAGAGCTTACTACCAAGAATTCCACACTAATCAACGTTTTGTGACTGTTCTTCTATCAGTCTGTATTCTTTATCAATCTTATAAATGGATCAGATTCTCCTATCTTCTTGTCATTCTGCGGAAATAATATTCAAAGGGTCTTAGCGTTTATGGATCTTACCTAGAGTAATAAAACGAATACTGCTTCCACCTTCCCAGGGAACTGCATGAGTGAATTTATGGGACTCATCAAAGGTCACTATGAGGCAAAGGAAGGTGGGTTCCTGCCAGGAGGAGGCAGCCTGCACAGCACAATGACTCCCCATGGGCCTGATGCCGACTGCTTTGACAAGGCCAGCAAAGCCAAGCTGGTACCTGAGAGGATTGCTGATGGCACCATGGTAAGCAAGTTAAATCCCAGGCTCTGGTGGCCTTTGGGCTCCCCAGTCTTGTTGAGAGAAGTGGCTATTTTTTATATCTCCAAAGTCACAGAGGAAGAGTCAGGAGAGGAGAGTGTGTGTCTGTGTCTGTGTTCCCGTGTATGTTTGCACACAGCCCTGTGTGTATACTAGACTCCTGCTGTGGTGCGGGTAGAAAAAGCTTTGGGCTTTGGACATGGAGTCAGGCCTAGGTTCAAATCCTAGCTCTTAGTTCCTGTGTGACCTTGAACAAGTCACATAATTTCTCTGCTTCATTGTACCTATCTGTCGAGTGGGTATGGTATCCAACTCAGCAGGTGACTATGATTTAACCTTACACACTGTCCAGCACTGTTCGAATGTAAGGAGGTATTAGTAATACTACTGGAAGGGTCTTCCCTTATCTGCATGCAGCCCTGTGTATTTATGCTTTGTCTCAGAGCCATCTGCTTTTTGTAGTAATCCTCTAGGGCCACAGAGGATGCATGATATCACCTTCAGCCAGTTTCTCAAGCCAAGGAGAGTCAAGAAGGCTTTGCATCATTAATCTGAGCTGTGACCAGCAGTTCTCTGCAGTTTTCTCATTTTCCTTTGCTTTCCTTTGGCATGGGATGAAACTGATGGGATTTAAAACCTGTTTTGTATTCCTCCTGTGTCAGGCTGTAAACATTGAGGCTGAACACAATTGCAGACAGCTGTGGTACTTGATTTTCTTTTATTTTTGCATTCTTGGAGGTAGAGTTTATGGACCACAAGAAGTAATTTTATGCTAAATCATATGCAAATTTGCTTTACATTTTTAAACAAATGCCTTTGATGCTACCTGGCTTTAAAAATCAATAACAAAGACCTGCCTGAGTCCATGCCCAGTTTGCAAACAACCTAAGCAGGAAGCATTATCTGTCCCTCTGTCCAATGCAGTTTGCTTTTAAATCCAAGCCCAGGGCCAGAGTTGGTGGAGCTGGTCTGCAGCGGGAGGGTGAGAGGAGGCCCATTTGCTTGACCTCAACTCTACCACCCCTTGTAAGAGCCTCTGCAGAGTTTCTGTAGACCCCTACCTCTCTATGAGGCATGGTTGAGCATCTCACTGAAGCTATTGCTTCCAAAGCCTCCTGAAGGTCCACAGGCTACTCGAGAGGTGCCATTCAATAACCTTTGGTCTCCAAATTGGCCTAGGATAGTCTGTGCTACCAGGGAGCTGTGTTCTGCATCAGCCAGGCACAGAACAGGGCTGTCTCTACTAGAAACAACACTTTGGGTAATGTCTAGGGCCTGGAGCACTAGTGAGAATGAGCTCTCCCACGTGGGGGTTCAGGGGCAAGGAGGCCCTGGGTAGCCAGGTTGCCCAGACTACCTGGTGAGAGGGTTCAGCACTTTACCTAGACCTCACTTTGGGTCTCCCTCACTATTTCCCATTGCATTATTTGGACACAGGACCATTTATATGTCTTATCCTTATTCCAGTTTAGAATAAATACATTTTATACAATACTGTCTTCATAGCTCAACGGGGATGGGGTTTTGTTATTTTACTCAGACAGCAAGGCTCCCAAGAAGCAGTCAATAAAGAGACAATAATAATAATAGCCATGATAACAACCCTTATATCTGAATAGTGCTTTATAATGTGCAAGGCACTTCCACATGTTCTCATCTGGTCCTCACATCAAGCCTGTCATGGGAAATCACTCAGGGACAATCATCTTCATTGTTTTAGGCAAAAGAAGTTAATGTATATTAGACACCAAAACATTAATATGGCTTCTCTGGATTGTAGCACAAGAGAATTTTTATTTTCCTCCCGTTAATCTATATTTTTAAAATTTCCAACAGTGTGAGCACATAAGAATTGTGGGGTTTCATTTTGTTATTGTTTTATTTTTAAGAGCCACGGTGGGTAGAAAATTCAGCCATCATCAGTGAAGCTGGAATGTCCAAAACACAGAGTATTTGCATAATCTTTCTGTTGTAGACAAAAACCTGATCACAGTGGGACATTCAGCACTCAGGCCTTTCTGGATTAGAGCTTTTAAAAGGGCTACAGCTATTCCTGCCTCCTGATTCCCTCCTCCTCCTCACTCTCTCTTTTTCTCCTTTTCCTTTTCCCAGCCCATCTCTTAGTCAGAGTCCCGAAAAAGAAAGGCTCAGATTCCAGCTCTGCCACTTCTTGCTACCATCACTTTAAACAAGTCATTTCTGAGCCCAGCTCTGAGCCTTAGTTTCTACCTCTGCAAAAAGGGGAGTGTGGCCTCCCTCACAAAGACACAGCCATAGTAATTGATGGCCCTTGAGAAGATGAATATTTCTAGAACTCTCCCACCTTTACCTTTGGATCTAGCAACTTTAACTCCGAAACGCTGCAAAGTCAATATGAGGTGTATATACCCAATTTCATTTTACAGGATGAAACTTGAGGCTTTGAGAAGTTAAGGATCTTGCACAAGTATCACCACTTATAAGTGGTAGGGCCAGAGCCAGAACCCAGGGCCTGAGCCTGCTCTCCTCACCATGCTAACACACAGGATTTCTTATTCAAAGATTTGCCTACCCACATCTTCTCTCTTGACATTTAATCAAATGTGTTTTGTTATCCTCATCTCTTCTTTCACTTTATTTCCTACAGGCATTTATGTTTGAGTCTTCTCTAAGTATGGCTGTCACCAAGTGGGGGCTGAAGACCTCTAATTCTTTGGATGAGAACTACTACAAGTGCTGGGAGCCTCTCAAGAGCCACTTCACCCCCAATTCCAGGAATCCAGCAGGACCTAATTGAGACTGGAACATTGCTACCATAGTTGAAATGAATGTGTGCAGTTTCCTTTAGAATCTTGTGACTTCTGGCAGTATTGGGGGAGGGGGCTGGTTAAAATGAGAACTTACTTTTTTATAGTCAAGTGACTCAGACAATTGCAGAAATTTATTTGAAAAGTTTTATGACTGTCAGCTTAATTACTCAATAAATACTTGCTGGTGTTGTGTGGAAGTGGCAAGTGGTCATAATCAGCACTTAATGGGGCAAACCTATAGTGGGCAGGACTGGGGGGTCCAGGAGATTGGACCAAGGCCAGGACCCCTTCGCATGTGGTTGGCCTGAGTGCATTTATTCTAGAAACACAAGTCCAGGGCACCTACCATAGACCACAAGATCAAGCCACAGGGAGGACAGACCAATGTAAGGACTATGACCAATGTAAGGTTGAAACCAAGGCCAAGGCCCCATCAGTCCGTTCAGGCATAGGGAAGCAAAGGGGGTCAGCAGAGCTCCAAACAGCTAGTGTTATCCTTAAATAGATGGGCAGCCAGGCCGCCAGGCTATCTAATCTTGGTAGTCACATAGCAACCAATACAGTGATAATGGACAGGAAGTCCAGCCACTAAGAGTAAGCATCATTCACTGAGGGTACCAACTGCCATGATTTTCACACTGAAAGCTCCACATCCCAGGAAATCCCTCAGTCCTGTCCCGAGCAAGGCAGTTAGTCACCCTAACATTCATTCATTTATCAGTCCATTTGGTAACTTTGCATTGAATCCTTACTATGTGCTGGCCACAGAGCAAGATGCTGGGGATTAACGATTGAAAGGGGCGAAGTTGCCTCTTCCTTTAGCGAGCTCACAGTCTGGGGAGGTCAGGGCCAAAGAAGAACAAAGGCCTCTGTGCTCACCACAACAAAACAGAGCAGTGCTGTGTAGGAAAGCTGCTCTTAACAGCTCCCTTCCTGTGGGGGCAACCCTCCCAGAATACTGGGCTGCCAGGACTTTGCGGTGAGTGGATTAGCTGGAGTGAAAACACGTCAGAACAGAAAGGAATGGGAAGTATTTGTCGCGACTTTAGTTCAGTAGTTTTAGCACATTTTCCCCACTTTGTTGCCATAGTAGCAATTTCATTATGCTGCTGCCAGATTTTTATTTAACAATATGTAGTGAGAGTCAGCTGTGTGTCAGGGCCTAGGAGCTAGGATTGCCAGATAAAATACAAGATGCCCAGTTAAATTTGAATTTCAGATAAACCCTGAATAATAGAATAAGTCCTTTGGACATATTTATGCTAAAAGCTATTCAGGGTTTACCTGAAATTTAAATTTAACTGGGAACCCTGTATTTTTATTTGCTAAATCTGGCAACTCTACAAGGGATAGGGTGGTCAAGGAGACAGACATGGTCCTTGCCCTTATGAAGGTTACATTCTAGTGAAGGAAACGGGAAATAGATAAACAAAATAATTACAAAGTGTGAAACATGCCAAGGAGAAAACAAACAGGAGCTGAGTTGGGATTACCAGGTGGTAGGACTTTAGAGAGAAAAGTCTTCAATGAAGATGTGACACTTAGTCAGACATAAAGGGTAGGAAGGAGCAAGTAATTGGATGAGTGGGGGTTGGGGGGGTGGGGAGGAGGAGCATTTCAAGAAAAAGCCTTGTGGGTTCAAGGAACTGAAAGAAAAGTGGATGTGGGGAGCGCAGGAGGAGATCATTGCAATAGTCCAAGCAAAAGACAACATTGTCCTGGACTGATGAAGTGGTGGCAGAGACAGAAGTGGATAAATTGCCAAATGTTTGGGGTAGACTTGGAAGAACTTGTTAATGGACTGGAAGTAAGGGGTGAAGGAAAGAGGAGTTGAGGACAGGCTGAGGTGACTGCTGGGTTTCTTACAGTGGTATTTCTTAGTCTCAAATGATTAGGTGAAGGTATCTTTGAGGGTTACAGAGGTTGGTGTGCCTTCCCAATGTACCTTAATATAAAGAAGTCTTTATTAAAAATTAAACTAGTCAGGCAGTTAACACCTTTACATAAATTTGAAAATTGACCACTGTAGTAGAAGTTGCCAGTGGCCCTCTATATCCCTCAGCAATCACCATCCAGTGCCAACTAAATGCTTCCATTTGCTAGCACCCCACCGGCAGCTCTGCCTGAGACCCAAACCAGAACGTGGCAAAAGTGTGGAGAGTTGAACAGCCCAGGATGCAGCCCTCAAGCAATCACAAATGGGAATTAGTAGATAAAACCGCCAGGCCTTTCTCCCCTACCTCTGAGGCTTGTGTTTGGCCCTGGCTCCCTGCAACTTCCAGAGGCTTAGCTACAAGTGCCCCCGGTGATTCTGATAGTGCACCCATTGTTAGCTTCCTTCCCTCTCACTTCCCCACTCTCTTATGGTGCTTTCTGGGCTCGTCTCCCAAATAAACCAAACTAAGACAACCATTAAACTATTTCATTCCCAGACCGTAGCCTTTCCATAAAGAGCTTATCCTAACCCTACTCTTATACATGTACTTAGAATCTTACCTATTTTGGTTCACTTTATCATCAGTTTGGCAGCAAAGCCTTCCTAAGACTAAGGCAACATTCTGGGTTTACATCCATTTAGCATCCAAGCCCTTGTACTTTATCATCCTGCTGCTGGCAGCGACTCATCAGCTGGAGACAATATTTCACCCAAGCCAGACTGTTCACGCTAATTAAAAAAAGATTTAGTTTCCTTCTGTTGTGCTTCAGATCAGCTAGAAAGATCTGTATCGTTTCCTTAATTCCCTATTTTTGAAGATACTGCAGGCCCTTGAATATCATCATTTCATTCAACATTGTTTCATTATAACATTGATGAGATGCCGTAGGAACTTAACTTTTGTTTATATTGGTTAGCCTATGGTAAAACTGGTTTTATTATATGTCATTTCGCTTCAAGTCGCAGAACCTATTGACGACATTAAGTGAGAACCTACTGTACCTTCCTCTATCAGGCTCCCTGAGAAATATACCATCTCTCTGCTTGAAAATTGAAACCCTTTTTTAAAATAGGCAACTTGACTAGGTTTCCTCCAATGACAGGGAGGTTTCTGCCAAGTGCCCTTGGCATCTTTATATATTTTCCTGTTAGATAGGGTGCAACAGAAGCCACCCTTCTCTGTTTTTCTTTTTTTTTTTTTTTAAAGATTTTTATTGGGGAATTGGGGGGATGGGAACAGTGCTGGGGAATTGGGGGAAGGGGACAGACAAGTTGCTGTCGTTTTGTTCTTCAGTCTAGTTGTGGAGGACGTTGCTTCACTGGCCCACGTTGGCACCATCATTGCGCTCTTCCCAGGTGAGGCACATCAGTCCCTGGCTTCTGGACGGCCGCTCACACTGACTGCTGGCTACATACGGTAGCCCATGGCAACCCACTGCCACAGGGGCTGCAGCCTGCGCCGTCGCCGGCGACTCACAGCAGCCCAGCTCCAGGTTGAGCTGTTGTTCAGCATCTTAGCTGTAGAGGGCAGTGTCACTGGCCCTCATGTGGGATCCGAACCGGGGCCCTCTTGGTGTCCCAAGCCAGTTCTTAACCATCGCGCCACTCGGCCGGTCCTCTTTTTTTCTTTTTGAGAGGCTTCTCTCACAGCTCAGGTTACTAGCGATGGCTAAAGACCAACAGTTCTCAACAGGGGCGATTTTGCAACCTCCCCCCAAGACATCTGGCAAAGTCTAGAGACATTTTTGGTTGCCACAACTGGGGAAGGTACTACTGGCATCTAGTAGGTAAAGGCTAGGGAAGAAGGTAAACATTCTACAAGGCACAGGACAGTCTCTCACAACAAAGAGTTATCCCATGCTGAATGTCAATCATGCTCAAGTTGAGAAACCCTGCTCTAGACACAGTGGTTCTCAACTTCAGCTGTACCCTGGATCTCCTGGCAGCTTCTGAAACTCCAGGTGCCCAGGGTACACTTCAGATCAACTAAATTAGAAACAGTGGGAATGGAACCCAAAGGAGAAATTTTTGTAAACTCTTCCAGTGATCCCAATGCACAAGCAAGGCTGAGGACCACTGTTTTAGAAACTACTTTAAAATAAGTGTTCAAAACACCCTCTGTTTCCAATCTCCGATCCTGATCTAAATCAGGGTTTCCTAGGGTCTACAGAAAAGAGGTGGAAAAAAATCCCTAAAACACCCAGCAGTCTAGTAAACATAGAATGGGATGATATGGGGTGTGTAGTGAAGGATTACCTAGGAGGAAAAGCAGGCTACCAGGCAGTGGTGGAGAGGGTCACTGCCTCCCACCGGAAAGCACCAGCTCTGCAAAGGTGCCCAAGTGGGGCACAGGGAGCGTGGGGAGGAGAAGAGGGAAGTTAGGAACGTAAGGCCTGATGTAAACTGTCTAGAAGTTATGAGTTAATGTGTAGTTTCTGAATTGTGATTTTCCAGAGTGATGATACAGTTATCATTTCTGGTTTAAAGGAAATTTTGTCCTTTTGGAAAGATATTTTACTACAAAAATGAATATAAAAATTAAACAAACTTGAGGGCTGACATTTAAGCTTCTTATATCTAGTGATCAGCTAGCCTTCAGTTTGATATAATCAACTTTATCTAATTGCATCACAAATCTGAGGTATGTCCAAAATGCATCCTTTTGTGAGGCAGTGGATAGTTAAGAGCACAGGTGCTAGAGCCACACTCCCTGGGTTCAAATCCAGGCTCTATCCCTTCTTAGCTGTGTGACCCTGAGCAAGTTTCTTAATGTCTCTGAGCCTCTGCTTTCTCAGCTGTAAAATGTGGATAATGATAGTGCCTACGTCATAGTGCCAGTGTGAGTATAAACTGAGTTAATATATAGGTAAGTGGCTTAGAATAGCACCTATCACATAAATAAGCACTGAAAAACAAGTAACTATAATATTATGGAGGGTTTGGGTTTTTTTCTTTTTGGGGTGTATTTTGATCTTGATATGTTTGTTTAAAAATATAATTAGCTACTTATTAATTTTTTGGAAGAATAGTAATTAAGGAATCCAGACGCTAAAATCCAGACTGTACTTTCTTAGCTGAATGAGTTTGAGCAAGTAACCTCTCTAAGTTTCACTTTCCTCATTTAATAGAAGGAAATAATTTATTTCACAGAGATTTGGTGAGGGTTAAAGGAAACCAGGCACTGAAGGCACCCACACTGCTTTGGGCACATAGTGAACATAGGCAAATATTAGCTATTATTATTATTGTTTATTATTACTATTGTCAC